GGAAGCTCTGAGTGTGGACAAACCACGTGAGAAACATGTGAGAGAAACACACACGTCCTTTTCGTCCCTGTGAAAGGAGCTTCTGCTTTATGGGCTGACGCACAGCTCAGCCAGGATGAGGACATTTCCCCTACACCAGCTAGAACTAGCAGTTTATGACACTTTCTTCTCCCCTAATGGAGAAGGAAGGAAAGCAAACAGGACACCACCCTCTAAGAAAGCATTTACTGCCTGCACTAAGCTGCTCTTACTGAGGGAATCTCCAGATTTGCAGTTATTGCACTTCCCCGCACACCAGTAACTATGGCAACTCCATCACTGTTTACTCGAGATCCTCGTGAAGGTCACAGTCATCTCATAAGCAGGTTTGCTGTCTGGGTTTTGCTATTACTTGAGAGGCAGAGCCCGAGAGATTAGGCAGCAGAGGCAGAGCAAAGGCATTGACGTCCTAACAGCTGAGAGAGTCACGAGCTTTATTTCTTCTTTACTTTGTAGAATTCAGCACCAATCTTGCTTCCCCATCCCTTGGGACTTTGGCTCTCCATATTATTAGTCTGACTGGATGAAAGTTGTGGTGGGTTACAACAAGCCAAGAACAGCTTCTCCTCCAGGTAGCTTTCCAAAACACACTCTCCCTCCACAGCAAAAACACATTTCAACTTACCCTTTGTCAAAGAAAGACGTATGCCCAGGATGAGGGTACTTTGTGCCGTTGCTGTTCATCACGCTGCTGTTAACATTCCCTGAAATGTAGGATTTCCGCGACGCCTGGTCCTTTGCAAAATTCCTGCAAGCAGCTAATTTGGATTCTAAGGCCTGTGAAAGAAAAATAAATAAATAAATAAATGGTAATATTATTAGAAGGAGGTTTTCCGCTCAAGTTCAGGCCTCAACATGACCACAGATCTGTAGGCCCAGAGGCCAGTGTGATGGGATAAAGTTTAGCAAAATCTGAATCAAATGGAACAAAGTCATGTGTCATCCAGTTATAAAAGAAATCTATTCTATGGAATGCTGGTGCAGACTGACAGGCACAAATCCTTTCCATTAGGGTTAGGATTTTGCAATATATCGGTTCAATAAGGAAGCCAGCTCTCAGCAGAAGCTATTGAAGTCCAGTTACTTGAGGATCAGACTCAAATGTGTTATTGTCCTGAGGCTGTGGGCAGTGCATTTCAGCACTCCTGTGCCTGCAAGAGCTCAGTTTTCAGGCACGGCAGCTGAAGAGTCTCCTGCAAACTCCCAGCACAGATGGCACTCCACGATGAACCTCGCAGGGCTTCACTCCTGGAGTAGATACAGGCCCAGACCTATCACTGGGTGATGACTTGGGACTGGAGAGCACAGGATTGCCAAGTGCCTTCTGCCTGAGCAGGTAAAGCTCTGCTATTGCAGGGAAGTGGGTGTTGAGAAGTCTCTTGCTCCCTAACTCTGGCATAAGCTAATCAGATAATTCAGAGAAAGCCCCCCCAAAATCCTCAAGTTTCTGGAAGGATCTTGCACATAGAAATGCAGACTCCTCCCCAGGACAATGTCTTCTACCACTCCTTTACTCATCTCCACCACTTTCAAGAAAGCCTGGCGAGATCCTTCCTCGATATGTAAGGCACAAGTTGCTGCTGACTGCTGGCAAGAAGGACACGCTTTCCACACAGCACCACACTCCTGATTTCCTCTTCAGTTTATTACAACACCTGCCCTTTTTGCTGCCTAGCACATAAACTAAGACCCAACGTGATGAATACCTGTCTGCTCCAGCAGAAGATCCTTGCAGCTATTTGTAATGTCTAAGCCATGTGTGTGGGCATCCACGTGCTTACAGACACATGTACAGAAGGGAAAAAAGCCCAAGTCCTTGACAGCACCAGGAATTCAGTACTGCTCTACGCAGAAAAATACTCCATTAATAAGGCACTGACACACTATCAGAAATAGGCCGGCTCTACAAAACCTTGCTCTAGCAGCCCACTTAAGCTTCCTTGGTGACTATCCATATATATTTTTGCTCTTAATGTTCTCCCAGGGTCTTTCAGCTGGAAACAGCAAACGTGATCCCTGCCAAGCAACTCCCTGTCTCAGCTGCAAGTTAAGGAAGGCGAGGGCGACTTCTTGGAGAGAAAGGGAATCTAGGGCACAGGCTGAGGCATCCTCCAAGTAGCCAGGCCTACAATTAGCAGCTGAACATCCTACAATTATTAATGAATAAATTGTAACTTTGTATCACTAGCAGACTGCGAGGAGCAGGCTGGGAAGCAAGCACGCTTATTTGGCATTTCCTGTCCTTGCAGAGTAATCCCATGGGATTGTGATTAAGCTCCCTAAATCCCCTACAGACTCTTACTCACAATGATCCCATTTTAAACATGCCACTCTGCAACCCCCGTCCTCCTGCTGCCCTTGCAAAGCAGCTACGCTCCTGGCAGCTCCAAATGCAGGCAACGACGTAACTTTTAATTTCAAACCCTGCCAAAACAACTGCCTGGGCTGCAGTTATTGCTGTTTGCAGAGTAAACCACGGGATATGGAGGAAAGTCAGCACCAGAGGCTAGACACAATGGCTATCCATGCTTCCTCTCCAAACACCAGCGCTCCATTGAGGCACATGAACAAGCTCCTCATGCCTGGAAGCAAAAAGTCATTCTTCATTCAGCTGGAAGGCCTGGCAGCCTAAGCAACACTGGAACAGATGTTGGAATCATTTCTTCCTGCTTATAGTTGTAATCCCTTTAAAGGCTCACACATTTCACTTCCCCACCAACTACAGAAAGGAACATTTGGCTTTCTCCCCATTTCTTTTTTTTCCACTTTCTTATTAAAGGACTTGACATTTATTCATTTCAAATCACTGCTGCAGATCACGTCAGGCACAAGACAACTGATCCCATCTCACTTCCCGAGACACAGAAATATTGTGCAGTGGGCACAAAAAGGCTGGGATTTGGTTCCCAGATTTGGTCTCAGAGAGACAGCAAGGAGCCCCATTTTTAACTATGGGCACATGGCTGACAGCGCCTAGGTAATATATCAAAGATCCTGAGAAGTTTTTTTGCTCCATACATGAATTTCATCACCCAAAGTTGGCATCAGAATCTTAACAACACAGTTCACAAATCAAGGTAAATTATTAATAGCATTGTCATATATAAAACATGCATCTTTTGGAAGAGATATCTTGGAAACTACCGCACATACTGAGCATGAGCCAGGTCCTCTTTTTATTCTCCTCCAAAGATGAAAGTTCATCAACACAAGAACAGAACTAGAAATTCTTCAGCACAAGGCACTCACCCCTACTTTCCGTAAGAGATCTCCCACAATGTTGAGTGCAGATATTCTAGCTGAAGGAGTAAGAGGGCTGGTACCAAACCCATTTGGTATAGCTGCAAACCAAACACAAACAGATTTTATTACAAGCGCCACAGTTCCATAGTAGTAAATAAATAAGAATTAAGTTCCCTATAGAAGGAAATCTAAAATCCTACTGCAGATTATTCATGATCTGTGGGCAAAAAAACCTTAATTCCTGCCTACTGCCCTCCTTCGCATTAGGTTGACACGCAGAGTTCATGCACTCTCATCTGCAAGGCTACTGCATACAACCCATCTAATCCACCCAGGGCTTGCTCTGGAATCTACTCTAATTTCAAAAATAACATATTAATCCTTGTGATTATTCATAGCTCTCCAGATGGGGAAGAGGAGTGAACTAATGGATTGCTGCCTCCCATTAAAAAAAAAAAGAGAAAAAAAAAAAATAAAAACATATCCTTGAACAGCATGCATGGTAAAGACAGTCTAAACTGCCCGAGTTGATACCCACCATTTACTGGGTAAATCAGAAACATCCAGTGAGCCTAATTCTGCGATCCCAAACACCTTTGGTATTCTACTGTAAGGAGAGTGTCCACATGAGCTTGATGTTAGGCTTAGTCTCGTTTTCTGACACAGTCACTCACCCAAAACCAAATGTACCTGATGCTGTCACCCCAGGATTTAAAAAAAAAAAAAAAAAAAAAAAAAAAAAAAAAAAAAAAAAAAAAAAAACATTACACACCTTATGCAATGCACACATGGCACACAGGCATTTAAATTTACCCCAAATTTACTAAAAGACCCTGTTTTGACGTAGTTGATGAGCTGAACATACTTCCAAACAACTACAGCAAGTTTCTGTTAAGTATACCTTTAGGGGAAGGAAAACTATTTTCTGATCCTTTTCCAACGGGTGTAGCTGGCAAGGAGAGAGATGCCTGGACAGCTGAATCCATCTTCTCACAGTCTAGAGTTGGAGAACTAGGCGCTGACTTCCGAGTGACTTCCTGTTGCCTTTCCCGTACTGCTAACTCTTGCCTTAAGTCTGAGGAGTGAAAGAGGAAAACAATTACTTAAGCAGGAAACATGCACAGTATTCTGCAACAACCAAACATTTGTTCCACTCAATCAGACTTACTTCTTCCATTGAGAGGACCTCCAACCTCAAAGTAGTCACAACTTATTATCAACATTTTCCAATACATTCGGGAGTAAAGCAGCAAACAGCTTTTGCAGGACCACAGAACTCGTGTGGCCCCCAGAATGCAGGATAAGTGACTTGGCCTCAGCATTTTTCCCCTGTCTGTAGTTTAAATCCCATGGAAAATGCATTACAGCAATCTCCTAGGATGTCACAAATGCCTGCTGAAGTTTTCAATGGCTGATGTTCCTGCATGTTGTTGGGGGAAATAACATGTAGCTTTACTAGCCTAATAAATGCTAAAAGTTTCCAAATGAATCATCCAAGAAACAGGATGACCTGTTTGCCGATTATTTCAGTGTTCTATACAACACTGCCCTAGGCTTCCCTATTTTCTCAGTAGTACTGACCTAATCCCAAATAATATTACTTCAGAAAATATTTAGTTTCCTAAATATTTTCCCCATTTGTTATAAGAAACAACTACATTTACAGTGGTAGCTTTTGATTTGTGAGCATGAACGCAGCTGAATTAGGCAGCATCCAAGAGGTTTAGAAGGAACAGAAAACAGGGCCTTTATTTATATTAAAGAGGCTATTTAAGCATTTATTATTTCTTTCCCTGTCATTTATCTTCTCTTCCCATGAAACACAAGCCCAAGGAATGGGAACCTTTGGAGCACAGTCCCCTGCTTTGTTGCAGTTGTGGATTGCAATTCTTTTGTGCTCACCTTGGCTAAGAACCCTGAATGAATCCAGTATTTTTTCCCTACTAATGGAGGAAAAATGTTAGCAGGGTCTACATTGAAGTTAGTCATTTGAAAGCAATGGAAATGCTTCTTAGAAATGGCTAATAAACTCCAATGAACGAGATGAAAAGAACCTGATAGCATCTGGCTCTCAGAGATGTACCCACGAGCTGGGAAAGAGCTAATCAAGTAGACCTAGCTCCACTTATCCCATGCTGTTCTCCAAGGTCATGCTTCCTATCAGTGTATAAGCTCAGGAGGTGCTGCACACTCCAGAGACCTGATCAGGCCATAGCCTAGGAAGTCCAAAAAGTACTAGGATGTTACCTAAGGCCTAATTTGTTCCATGATTTAAGTGAGGCAACTCATACGCGTCAAAAGCCAGTCGTGTGGTTGAAAGTCTTGTGGAAGCAGGACTGAGACTCTTGGATCTCTTTGCTGCATAGCCAGAGGCTCACTTCTGCTCCCACTGAATCCATGGCAAAATTCCCAGTCAGCAAAACGGAAGCATGATCCACTCCCTAACAAGGCGTTTCTAACAGCAAGCTCTTCATTTTATGCACTTGCCCACGACACATTTGTTCCCCACAGTCATTTAGGCATTAGGCAAGAGGAAACTCCTTTGGCCTGTTTTATTTAAAAGGGGTAAGTAAAGAATTAACTTCTTACTTCAAAGAGGCTTTGAGCTACAAGGATCACAAATGTAAGAGTCACCTAGCTGGTCCCATCAAAACCAGTGCACTGGCCTGGCTTGCTCTAAGCCTGCTTTTACTGCTTGTTTCTCACAAGAATACAAAGCACTTCAAACACCCCTTGCCTTCCTTGCTGTAATGTAATGCCACCAGTTGATGGATGTCAATTCTATATGTAAACTGCACTGTACAAAATCATGTGTCTTGGATTTTGAGTGTGTAGCCTTTTTTTCTTTAAAAGGAATAATAAAAATGATGAATCTAGGTAACAAAAAGAAAAGAAAAAAGAAAAAAAAAAAAAGAGACTTGAAAGGGGTAAGTAAAGAATTAACTTCTTACTTCAAAGAGGCTTTGAGCTACAAGGTTCACAAATGTAAGAGTCACCTAGCTGGTCCCATCAAAACCAGTGCACTGGCCTGGCTTGCTCTAAGCCTGCTTTTACTGCTTGTTTCTCACAGGAATACAAAGCACTTCAAACACCCTTTGCCTTCCTTGCTGTAATGTAATGCTACCAGTTGATGGATGTCAATTCTATGTGTAAACTGCACTGTACAAAATCATGTGCCTTGGATTTTGAGTGTGTAGCCTTTTTTTCTTTAAAAGGAATAATAAAAATGATGAATCTAGGTAACAAAAAGAAAAGAAAAAAAAAAAAAAGAGACTTGGTAAAAATCTTAGGGAAATAAGACACTTGCAGTAGTCACCTCTTTGCACGCTCTAAGTCGTCATTGGCCTGTTCCAACTCCCTCACATACTTATGTAGCTGATCTTTGATGGCCCGTGTCTGGCTCAGGTCATCCTCTAACAATGACACCTGCTTATAACTCTGCGCATACTGGTGCTCCAGTTTCTCCTGAAAGAAAGAGAACTAGTGAGATAAACATCAGAAACATACATTCCCCAAGTCATCAGGAGTAAAACGGGGCAAAGTAGCAGGCTAGCTGCAGTCTGCTGACTTGGGATTGCTGGAAACAGCAGAATCTGGGGAATTGGTAAGACCATGCTCTGAACATCAGAACAGGGCAAAATCTCCGTTTACAAACACTGCATTGTGCTCGGAGATCTCATCATAACACAGCTGGCTGCTCAGAGATGCATCCCCACATCTGTTGCAAGTGGTCTGTGCTGCCAGCTGCTTTGAAGCCTCAAACATTTAGGTTGTCAAAAAGAAATCCAACAGCACTGCCTCCCCATGAGGGCCTCTCTCTAGGTAGCAACCACACTAACTAGAACTTGCCCAACATCTCCAGGAGCAAGAAGTGAGAATCACTGGAATTTGTTACAAAGCTTCCTCACTACAAAGAGAAGCTCCACAAGCTCATTTTAGAAAATATTGCAGAATTCATTCCTAAACATGCTACTAACAGTCCTGCAGGTAAAGTAGGAGCTAACAGAAAAAAATGATGACTTTACAAACACATACTGACCTTACAATCTAATTAGGACTGGATAAGTTTTAGGAGATTATTTGTTCTCTTATTTTCTCTGCATAGATTTCCAACTCCTCTCTTCACTATAATATCCCCGTGTTACCAAAGGAAAAACAAAACAAAACAACAACAACAACAAAAAAAAAAAAACAAAAACAAAAAAAAATGCAAAATACCCCAAAAAAACAAACAAACAAAAAAAACCCCACAAACATTTTGCCAGCATCCCAGAAGAGGGAAGAACCTGCTAACCCAGTGCCACTGATTAAAAATAATCTTTTGCACTCCTATTTCCACAGATACTGCTGTTATGAATGAATTATGAAAACCTCTGAAAGACATGAGGAAAAAAACAACCAAAAAAACCTGTCTTCAACTTTCTTGCAGGTTCTTTCACAGAACCAAGGAGATATTCTGACAAGACAAAAACAAATGTGCAGAGAAAGATGACAACCTAGTGGTCCAACAAAACAAACTTGTGTTGTCTCCCTGTTGCTATGTTCACGTTGCTCATCTGTGAAATACTTGGCAAAGCCTAGAGAATTCAAGCAAATGAGTAACTCAGTGACAAGAGTTTAATGATATGAACAAGAAAAATTCTTCTAGATTTTTTCCCTCTAAGTTGCTGACCTTATTTGGAGTGCATGCCACATACAGGGTTGGATCTTAAGCAGATGACTGCTTTACTCCATTTGGATACACAGTTAACTCAAGTACACATCAGACCATCTAAAACAAGATCCAACACACAAGGCAGTGCCACGACAAGCAAGAGCTACCTTTAATGTTTCCACTTCATATTTGAGCCTTTGGTTATCTGCCTGCAAATCTCTGTTCCTTTGTTCAGCTTGCACTAGCTGCGCCTCCAACTCCGCTTCTAGTTCTCTGCTTCCCTCTTGAAATTCAGCCAGCTCTTCCCGAGCTTCCTGGAAACTGCAAGGAGAGGATGTTATCCACTGAAAATCCAGCATTCTCGCAAGCTAAAAAAAACAATATTGATCTTTAAAAATGATAAACTGAAAGACAGAGTTTTGCAGGACTTAAGTTTGATGACAATAGATCTCTACAGGGAGAAGGAAAAATGATGAGAGAAGGAAATTACATTAAACTTAGCTATAAAAGGAAATTCATTCCCTTATGTCCAAAAGTCAGCTATATTAAATGCATGTTTGAACACAATCTATATCAAGGCAGGATTCAAAGGAGTCTTTAGAAACTCTTTGTACTGCATTAGCTTTCACTGCTAGCAGTCTTGAGTGAGTCAATGAATAAAGTGAATTTTGACCTGATTTGGGTCAAAAATCAGGGAGGAGAACAACAGTATCCCTCTACTACTTGAAAATGTAAGGTTCTTGAAAAGTGTTAAGATTTGAATCTTAAAGTCATTAAGCACTTAGGCAGGAAGCCAGCACATACCTTATTACCTTATACCATTACAAGGTATTAAATTGCTAAAAGTAGCCACTCCACATACTTCCCTTATTAAATTTGCATCTTTACTATTTTTAATAGCTCAGCTCTTAGCAAACTGCAGTGAAAACTAGAAAGGTTTTAGGAAACAAACACATGCAATGATGTCGGGGACAATTTCCTGACACCAAAGTTTAGTGGATGCAAGGCCCCTATACGTGCCCATCCATGTACCCAAAGAAAAACACCAAAAAGAGCTATAAGCCCAAAGAGCTGATCGGAGGTTTAACTGGCAGCACCTGGAGCAGGGGGGCCCTTCCAAAAAACAACCAAACAAAAAAACTGGTCAGAATTCCAGCTATAATAAGCACATTTCAGTAAATTGCAATAGAAACTCAATGGACCACTTTTTATACCAGTAATTCAACTACAAGAAGCCTGAGGGAAGAGTTCTCATGCAAGGCAAGTCCAAAGGAAGCCTTTTTATGACAAAAAGTCAAGTTACTACTTAAGGCAGCACTTTAATTATACAAAGATGCACATGATAGCAGAAGGGCTCTGTTCTTGCTTGAACATGCTTGAAACATAGCCTAGATTTCATGGAACAGTGCAAGAGATATTCAGCTTCCACAAGCCTGGAAATTTTGAAGCTGAATGTGGAAGACTCATTCTAACGTAGCTAATGCTCAGCAAAGCCCTGCAGAGAAACACATTAAGCCTCGTCACATAAATTCCAGTCATTAAGAACCAAACCCAGTCTATAAATCCACGACGGTACCTTTGTTTGTACTTCAAGGAAAGCTCTTTCCAATAAGCAGTTTCCTCCTTTGGACTTGAGAAAGTTGGAATTTCTTCACTGTCCATGATCAACGCGACCTGCAGAATAAAACAGGAGAAGACGTTGAGGAAAGCCAGCTAGACAGGCTGCCCCTGAAGCTGCTGCTAAGTCCTCATCATTGTGGCCTTTCTGACATCCAAACTTGGCACTCACAAACGGGACGTTCATGAGCCCTAACAACAGTCAGTCAGCACAGAGACCTGGAATAACAAGAAATGTAATTTTATCCAGCTCCTGGAAATGCTTGTGCAGCAGACTGAAACGAGACCAAAGAGCCACTCTGTGCCAGTGCTCTCACTAAAGCAGTAGTTAACATCAAACACTCACTTAGTACCACCTTTGGTAAGGATATTAACAGCTATCACAATTTCCACTTTCATTCATAACATGAATATTCTGCAAACAGATTTTATCTGTCGCTCATGCAATGATGCATTCTACAATTCCTCTTACAGTTGTGCAGGCTCATAATGAACGAGGACAAATATGCCAAGGTCAACAGCTAACAGGCTCTGCCAAGGAGACTGAAACTCAATTTACAGTAAGTTGAGGCCTAGCTAATTTCTGCTTTCATATAAAGATGAAGCTAACAATTTTCCAAAACAGTGTTGTCCCCTCCGCTCTCTCAGATCAGCACAGGGAAATAATAATGGTCTTTTCCATATAAGCAACAGTGCTTCCATAAGCAACAGTGCTTCTAACTTGGAGACATTTCCCATGCCAGGGCAGGCAAAAAAAGCTCTTTGTGGGTAAACAGAAGTTAGGTTTTTAAGGTTGCAATTGTAATGACCTGGAAGATGCCAAAGGAGGCCGTGTTGCAGTTGCAAATATCTGTACTCCCCAGTGTCAGTGCTGGCTAGTTCTGAATCACAATTGTTCTGCTGTTGGAGCTAATGAAGATGTAAGGATAGTTCTGTCATACAAAGCATGATCAAAAGTGTTCAAATAGAAATGGTTTCCAAATCCCTCCAGGATACTTTGCATGGGTCTTCTTACCAACGTAGCATTTCTGAGCCAAAAAAACAACCTCTTCTTTATCGCAGAGGCTCTAAACATGCCTTGTATCAAGCTCATCCTAGTAGATCAATCAGTAACAGCTGACCTACAATCCTTGACTTTCACACTCTAACAGGCACCAATAACCAATGCCATCCCTTCAGGCCCAAATATGTCCTACATCCCTGTGACCTGCATTTTAGACACCTAAAAGTGGGACAAAACAATTCCAGTGTTTTCCCCAGAGGGAAAACAGGCTCATGTCAGAGGCTGGCATTTTGTTCATAAATAAAGTGAGGCAAAACCAGCGCATTTGCTCTTCAGCTCAGACTCTAGCTGCTACAATTCAGGGCAGGACACCAAATTTATCCAAAAGAAGTGTCAGCCTCTTCCCTTTTCCACATTTTATGCTACTAAGAAAATACAATACATATGTGGAGCCCTCATAATTCTCCCAGTACATATATTTTCAGGCCCACTGCTCCTCTGCAGACAGAAATTTATCTGGGGTGCTCTAGCTGTCTCACCTGTTTGCAAGGGTGTTAATCAGAGCACAGGGCCACAACCACACAGCCCATGCAGACAGCCTGTTTACAGCAGATATAAAAGGCCCATGAAACACCCCAGGGCACCGCAGATTTGCAGTAAAGCAAGCAGACATCTCCTGTGGCTCGGGCACATGTCAGGCGGTTTGTAACCTGCTACACAAACCTCCATCAAGAGGTGGATGGCTTGGGTCAGTTACTGCTGCACGCTGGAACACCAGTCTCATGCGGATCACGCTGGGAATCTGCTCCAGGAAAAGCTTGCCGACCTTTTCCTCTAAGGAAATTCTGAGCTGGCACACTTGGAAAGGCTTAGATCAGCAAGCAGCACATTTTTTATCCTGAAAATAAGAGGTGCATAGCACAGAACTGAGTCCAACCCCGCAGCCCCAGAACGGCTGATCGACGGGCAGGCAGCCAGGAAACCACCCAGCGACAGATCTGGAGGAGACTGTGAACAAGGAAGCATTTTACATCATTTCCTAGAAAAAGCCAAGATAAGGTACGTCTAGGGCCAAGTGCCCTTCCTGGCCGCTCACACGAGATACACCCTTAGAAATAAACCTGGAGGATCCCTGGAAATGCAAAGTCTGTGGGGAAAAGATGTGGGAAGGGCTGCCCAAGAGTCGCAGGTACTAACACATTCACAGACAGAAGATGTGGAAGGTATTTTTTTATTCCCTTCACAAAGCATTGTTTCCCTTTTAGCTCCTAGAAGGGTGAGATTCAGCCCTTTGCTTATTCAGCCCCACTGGACAACAACTCTGCCTCCCCAGACTTACCCAGGACCAGTGGGTCCATCAGAAAGGGATGGAGTTCACCTTTTGTGAGCAAGTCCAACATCCCTTGCTTAAGCGGGTGCTGTCTCATGACTACCCACGCTCTAAGCATTTCTACCATCCTGCCCAATGCTAGCAGCATGGATTTTTTATTTTAATCTGCCAACTCCTACATCAGATGCTTACGTCATTGCGCTGCACTTAACTCTAGTATCCATACCCAGATTTGCTACACAACACGTGGTTGTGTCGTTTGACTTCTCTAACACATACACACTCCCGCAGACAAGGTGATCTGGGGACAAAATACTCCTTTTGGGAGCTAGCAAACACAGATAACTCCCAAGCCTGCCAGCATTGCATGCATGAACCTCAGTAAATCGCTTCCTTTCTGTCACCCTTGGTTCATTCTTTCTATTTAAGGTTTCAGCTCTTCTATGCAGACTCACCTAAACAGTTGTATTCGCCTGGTCACAAAGGGCTCCTAGGGATTTTTATAATCTATCTTAATAATTTAAGCATCTAATTTGCGGAATATTAAACTCTTTTTATTCCAAGGTGTTTAACAAGTAATGTTTTGCTTCAGTGCAATCTAGCTTAATAATTTAAGCATCCAATTTGTGGAATATTAAACACCTTGGAATAGAAAGAGTTTAACAAGTAATGTTTTGCTTCAGTGTCTCGCTGGTTATTCCTGGTTCAGGGCATTATGTAAGGAGCTGACAACCAGCATGGCAAACGCTTCCTATTCATGGTTGTCGTTGCATCCGTGGCATTTGCCAAATGCAGCCTTTGGTAGACAACACTGGGGCTTTCAGTGCCGAGACAAGGCAACACAGCAGCATCTTCCAGGGAAAAATCAGAGCAAGTTTATGCTGATACCCACTCGGGATTCATTACAGCACAGCTAAGCATTCACAGAGCTCCCTGGGAAAACTTGGCTGCATGGGTACAACTCCAGAATCTAAAGCAGCTCTAAAACAAGAACTGTGCTCAAAACGCTCCTTTCAAGCTCCTTTTACACAGTAAGCAGGACAGAGTAACCCAGAGGAGATCCTCTCCACTGCTAACACAGCACAGTTGCTCCAAGCAGCGATCACTGAAAAAAATTGCAACATGCGGTTTATGAAATTCAATAAATTGAAGTTTTTTTGGACAGGACAAACCTGCTGTCAAAAATATCCCTGGAGGTGGGATGTTTTCTGCATATTACAAGAGCCCAAGGCTGAGCCAAACATACAGCAAAAGTAAGCCCATTAAGGCAGACCAGATTCTTCCTTGAGTACCTTAATGAATTTTGCATTCAAGGCCCAGCTGAAGTCTTTATGAAGCCACTTTTCAGCTAAGTCATTAAAAGCACAAACACAGCTTGAAGCATAACAGTACCTTAAAAAAGCTGTCCTGACTCTCCATCATGTGACTGTAGGCTGCTCTTAGAGCTTGGATTAAATATCAGACCAAAATATGAAGCTTGCAATATAACATGATGCTTGGACTTCGATCCAAATCTTCCCACAGTTCAGAATTCACTCCTCCACTCTCGAGGCATAATTCAGCTCTCAGAAACATCATTGTGAGGATGAGCTACAAAACCAGGTCCAAACTGACTCTCAGTATTGGTAAGACACAGCTGCAATTCAGACAGGATGTTGCTGTAGGCATCTTCAGGTGCTGGGTAAACCACATCCTTCCCCATTTTAATCATCCCACATTTACCCAATTAGAGCTTGTTTTCATAAACATCCATCAAACTATATATTTAATATTCCCAAATAGGTCATTTTCCTAACTTTCTTTCTCACAATTCTGCTTGCCCTATGAATTTGGAAACCTAACATGAAGAATTAAGGAGAAGAGGCAAAACAGAGCTATCAAAAGTCACTTTGAGTCTATGAAACAGAGCCTGCCAGGCTATCAAGAGGCTACAAGCTACGGTGCTAGGACTCACCCAGCCATCCACTGTTTGCTGACCCACCACTTAAGGCAACACAAATGTCAACTGACCTTTAGAATTAAATATGTAACTACCCAAAATAGAACTTGTTAAGGAAATTCCACCAAGCTCACATCTGGCCTTCAGTTCCTGAGATAACAAAATAGCCGTTCTGGCCACGAGAGCCCTGCTTTCCATAGAAGTCAGAACTGCCAAGTGCGTAATCGCCGCAGTCGTTCCCTTCTTGCAGGGACTCTGCCATTGAAGGAGGCACTGGCCTGAAGTGACACGGAGAACACGAAGGATGGTCAAAAAGCAAGTCTCCTACCTCCTGTGCTGATTCGCAGATAGAAAAGCACAAGGGATCCTACGTCTCTTTTTTTTTTTTTGCCAGACCATAATAGTTAACAGGTATGCCCCAAAGCCTTGTAAAACCTGAGATTTTGCCAAACCATTTCAGGGCTCAAACCATTACTAGGAACTTGAACCCTCCAGCCCTAAATAAATAAAATCAAAGCACATTCGCATGATCTGTCACTTGCTAAAATGCCAAAAACAAACAAACAAAAGCCACAGATCAGGTTCCACCGATCAATATGTGCTCATTTTTCCTCATCCTGAAATAGGAGCTGGAAGCGCTTTCCTGCCGCGTTGGAAGGCTGCCTGCTGCCACTGCTGCTTCGCAAAGCGACCTCTCTGTCTTCTGCAACGCTATTTTTGAACCAAATGTTCTCTGGTGAACCACAACAAATGCCTCTTTGCCTCTTACAACAGCAGCGTATGAG